GTATGTTTTACTAGATACCTGTTAATACCCGAACAAGTTGTATGCTTTACCAGACACCTGCTAATACCTTAACAAGTTGTATGTTTTACTAGACACTTGTTAATACCCGAACACGTTGTGTGCTTCACCAGTTACCTGCTGATACCTTAACAAGTTGGATGCTTTACCATACACCTGTTAATACCCGAACAAGTTGTATGCTTTACCAGACACCTGCTAATACCTTAACAAGTTTTGTGTTTTACCAGACACTTGTTAATACCCGAACACGTTGTGTGCTTTACCAGACACCTGTTAATACCTTAACAAGTTTTGTGTTTTACCATACACCTGTTAATACCCGAACAAGTTGTATGCTTCACCAGTTACCTGCTGATACCTTAACAAGTTGGATGCTTTACCATACACCTGTTAATACCCGAACAAGTTGTATGCTTTACCAGACACCTGTTAATACCTTAACAAGTTTGTGTTTTACCAGACACTTGTTAATACCCGAACAAGTTGTATGTTTTACCAGACACCTGTTAATACCCGAACAAGTTGTATGCTTTACCAGACACCTGCTAATACCTTAACAAGTTTGTGTTTTACCAGACACTTGTTAATACCTGAACAAGTTGTATGTTTTACCAGACACCTGTTAATACCCGAACAAGTTGTATGCTTTACCAGACACCTGCTAATACTTTAACAAGTTGTATGTTTTACCAGACACCTGTCTGGTAAAACATACAACTTGTTAAGGTATTAACAGGTGTCTGGTAAAGCACACAACGTGTTCGGGTATTAACAAGTGTCTGGTAAAACACAAAACTTGTTAAGGTATTAGCAGGTGTCTGGTAAAGCATACAACTTGTTCGGGTATTAACACCTGCTGATAACCGAACAAGTTCTATGTTTCACCAGACACATGTTAACACATGTTCTCGTTCAAAAATGTAACTCTACTCAATGTAAAAAGTGTGGTTGGTTCGTAGAAGTCGTACATATACCGTACAGAGTACATGATGTAACTTTTTAATATTTGACTATGGTGTTCAGTTCCATCTTTTTGTGTGTGTTTGGGGGGGAGGCATAGAGCACTTTCTATTTGAAATTATAACTTTTAATAGACAACTGAAAGGGTATTTATTGTGCAAAAAGTTTGAAAGTTACGCTTACATAGGAATAACAACAGATAGACAAACAGGTAGATAGATAGAAGTACTCCTAACAAAGCGAGTTAAAATGCTTTATTGAAACACCCCTTTGTTGTTATTTTTAGAGTTTTCACGAAAGCTATACAAGAGTTATTTGCGTAAAGACGACCCTATTTTTGAACTTATAGACTAGTGGGAAGGCAGCTTGTCAAAAATACTCACTTCTAACTATTTGGCTATTCTGACCGAAATAGTGAGGTTTGGCCGCTACTCTTACAGCGCGTTCATGCACGTTTTTTTTTTTCAACCAGGGGACTCGAACCGTAAACCCTCTAATTTCCAGACCAGGCACGCAAACCAAGAGAGACGTTGGACCTTGAGACGCTCGTACGCGAACAAAACGAACGTGATATCATGAAACTGTTATTGTTCCGTAATATATAGTCTAATCCAAGTAGCTGAGTGCGTGTACTTTCGAATCAACTCACCGTTTTCCAAAACTCAAGAAATTACAAATTCAATATTCTGTCCACAAGAACAAAGAAACAACATGAACGTAGGAGTAGAACGCTCGAACGGATGATACATTTGCCACGTGAGCTTATTTTTTCCGGAAGATTTCAATATAATAGCTTCAAAGTGACCTCACATGACTCAATTTCAGTGTAATTGCTTCAAAGTGACCTCACATGACTCAATTCCTGTTACCGTCAAAAAAAAAAAAATCTCGTTTGGCTGTGGCGTTGTTTTTATGTATAGTAGATGCGAGACCCCGCGTAAATGGAAGGCTGATGTTATCTGTGATGCAAAACCCTACGCTATTACAAAGTGAATCATAAAAATAATATATATAAGTAATAAGAAACGTATTCTGTCCAACAGAACAGCAAGTGTTTCTGCATACTAACAACGTGTTAATTCTCCTAAAAATTAGAAGTAAGTTATTATTTTTGTGCTTATGTTTTTTCTCTTAACTCTTTATATTAATTTAGCATATTATTACTATTAAACGTGTTTTTCGTTCTAACTTCAGTGTGGATTTGATGACTTCTATATATTTTGGATATCCCATCAAATGTTTTATACAATATTAATTTACACCAAGGGGATCTCGATACCATTTACGTCTATCTGAAGTAGTAACAACAACAACAACAACAAACGTTCTCAGCCATCAGCCTATATTAATTTAGCATATTATTATTATTAAACGTGTTTTTTCGTTCTAACTTCAGTCTGGATTTGATGACTTCTATATATTTTGGATATACAATCAAATGTTTTATACAATATTCATTTATATCAAGGGGGGTCTCGATACTATTTACGTCTATCTGAAGTAGTAGCAATAACAACAACAACAAAAAACGTTCTCAGCCATCAGCCTATTAGTCCATACTAATCTCTCTGTTATGGAAGTAACCAGGGGTTGGATGTTAAAGGGGGTGGGGGAATTGTCAAATGACTTCGTAGAATTATTTCAACGTTTAATATTAGGTAAATAAATGCAAAGATGGCTACTGGTGGAGGAGGCAATGAAGTAATAAGAAGTAATTATTTTTAGTTACTAAGTTTTACGTTTTATTGAATATGAACAATGAATTGAAAATGCTGTAAATTTCAGGAACCGTGTCCCCCCCCCTCCCCCATACCTACTCTTTAGTTACACTTATGAAATTCGCTCTTACGTATATTTCAGGCTATCTGTCTCCGAATCATTTTGTTTTTTTATATTATCATTAAAACAGATTTTTAAAGATTTTATAATCATGTTGTATTTTATTTTTAAAAAATACCATTTTGTACACTTATTTTCTATCTATTAGTAACATATGAACGCATGTATTTTGCTGTTTGTTCTATAATTTGCAACATGTGAGCTCACAACAGGTTCGTTACATCATTTCTGCGCACAGCGAAGCACGTGTCACTTAATCATAATATCATAAAATTCAGTGAGAAACCCTATGCGTGTATTCATAAGCTCTTCCTTGTATTTCAAACTGAACACCGGATATAAGTGATAATATTTATTTGTATAATTTTTATATCTATTGTAACGGCATTTTGTATTTATGTCACGTAATAATATGCAACAAAAGTAAGAACAGAATCAGAATGGCATGTTCTACCTAGAATGCTGAAGCGGAAACAGACCTTACGTTTATGCATCCAACAATCACCATAAACATTTACTCGGTGTGAAACATTTAATGGTAAGCGGAAGCATATAGAATTGTTTTCATGAAATATCAAACCTTATGAAAACTTTTACAACTTCCTCATGCGTTAAACGATTTTGGCAGTGTTAGAAACGTTATTTGTGGCTAAAGCTATGAATTAGGAACGCAAAACACAACTCGTTCAAAATGACGATGGAAATATGTTAAGAACTTCAGGATACAAAGTGTCTTGTTGTTTACTTTCCAATTGTGGCTCAGGTGTCTTTCTGTCTGCTGTCCAACTAGAGCTCAGGATATAAAAATGTAATTTTGTCTACCGTCCATGGAGCTAAGGATACAAAGTGTCTTGTTGTCTACTGTCCAAATGTAGCTCAAGATAAAAAGGGTCTTGTTGTCTACTGTCCAATTGTAGCTCGAGATAAAAAGGGTCTTGTTGTCTACTGTCCAATTGTAGCTCAAGATACAGAGTGTCTTGTATATCGTCCAATCGTAGCTCAGGATACAAAGTGTCTTGTTGTCTACCGTCCAACTGGAGCTCAGGATACAAAGTGTCATGTTGTCTACCGTCCAACTGGAGCTCAGGATACAAAGTGTCATGTTATATATCGTTCATTTGTAGCTCAGGATACAAAGGGTCTTGTTGTCTACTGTCTAATTGTAGCTCAGGATACAAAGTGTCATGTTATATATCGTTCAATTGTAGCTCATGATACAAAGTGTCTTGTATACCGTCCAATTGTAGCTCAAGATACAAAGTGTCATGCTATATATCGTTCAATTGTAGCTCATGATACAAAGTGTCTTGTATACCGTCCAATTGTAGCTCAAGATACAAAGTGTCTTGTTGTCTACCGTCCAACTGGAGCTCAGGATACAAAGTGTCATGTTATATATCGTTCAGTTGTAGCTCAGCATACAAAGGGTCTTGTTGTCTACTGTCCAATTGTAGCTCAAGATACAAAGTGTCTTGTCTACCGTCCAATTGTAGCTCAGGATACAAAGTGTCTTGCTGTCTACTGTCCAACTGGAGCTCATGATACAAAGTGTCTTGTATACCGTCCAACTGGAGCTCAGGATACAAAGTGTCATGTTATATATCGTTCAATTGTAGCTCAGGATACAAACTGTCTTGTTGTCTACTGTCCAATTGTAGCTCAGGATACAAAGTATCTGTTTATGTACCGTTCAACTGTAACTCAGAATTTAAAGTGTCTCATTATATACTATCCTAATGTGTGAAGGTAATTTTTGCCTTGACTTATTTTTGGTAGCTTCCGTTAATTTGCTAATTTAATCCTGTGATCTATACCTAAATGAAGGCCTGTAAATAAAGAACAAATGTATCATTTGGGGTGTATGTACATGCCTTTCGTCAGGAGCTCGAAGTGAGGAAATGCGAGTTTACTATCGGAAATGACGTTTTAACCGCTCTGGTAAACATCTGCTTCTGAACGTCTGTATGTTACAAGTGGTAGCCTTACGCCATCCTTTTATGAAGCTATTTACATTCGGGTTGGTAACATTACTTACGAAACGTTACGCGATAAATTCAGTGTTCCGAGTAACATACAAAATATACTTTATCATTTTAATGCCCTGATGTAGTAATCATCACTTAATATTAAACCTATAAATTTTGAAAAATTTAGGCCTAGTGTAAACACTAGCATTTAAATCTATATAGCACGTCTAGATGCCGCGTAGCCCTAAAGTAATATAATATTTATAAGGAAGAAAAACTCTCCAGGTTGAACCGAAAGGTGATTCATCCAGTGTCTTATATCTTTCAGTCATTTGTAGAAAGCAAAGGTTAGATGAATGATTTTGTCAAGTGTTTTTATGCACTTTGTGTGTTTCAGAATTGGTTTAGGACTTCTTTTTAAGACTATATATAGATATATATAATACACTGAACTTTCTCGCACATAAAACTGTGCATGTCCTGCATATATATCCTTCTTAACGGTGTAAGAGAGCTGGTATGTGTGTATTTATAATCACTTCTTAACGGTGTAAGAGAGCTGATATGTGTGTATTTATAATCACTTCTTCACGGTGTAAGAAAGCTGATATGTGTGTATTTATAATCACTTCTAACGGTGTAAGAGAGCTGATATGTGTGTATTTATAATCACTTCTTCACGGTTTAAGAGAGCTGATATGTGTGTATTTATATTCACTTCTTCACGGTGTAAAAGAGCTGATATGTGTGTATTTATAATCACTTCTTCACGGTGTAAAAGAGCTGATATGTGTGTATTTATAATCACTTCTTAACGGTGTAAGAGAGCTGATATGTGTGTATTTATAATCACTTCTTAACGGTGTAAGAGAGCTGATATGTGTGTATTTATAAACACTTCTTTCGTTTATATATAAGAAGTGATGAGTATGTATTTATAATAATATCTTTAGGATATAGAACTGATATAGACATATCTATAATCACTTCTTTTGAACATAGAACTCATACATACCTGTATTTATAATCACTTCTTTAGGATACAGGAGAACTGGTATATGTGTGCGTTTGTAGGTAATCACAATGTTTTGATCAAGGTATTTCTATATTTTAAATGTGTTCACTGAGAAGAAAAAAGAATAGTAATGAATTTTAATGATTCTTTCTATATGCATGTTTACGTTTACCTAATTTTCTTTATTCTCTTGTATTTCAGACAAATACAGAATTAGGACAACAGAATAAATGGAATTTATTGCAACGCTTCACTGTAGCTCTGAGTGAGTACATATAGATAACTTTTTATTAAAACAACCAACCCAGTTTTTACAAGTTTGACATAAAACAACCAGTTTTTATAAGGAAATAAAACATATTCGTCCATTACATTATTCACATGACCAATTCATCACTCTTATCCGTAACATCCGTAAATAACTGTTACATACTGCTACATATTTAAAATTGAATGTATTTTAATATAACGATTTCCTTTAACTATATTTAATAACCTCAAAAGTAATAGTTTTTAAATGTTGGATTAATTTTGAACACTTTTATCAAAACATTCAAACTGTTGTTTTACAAGTTTCAATCACATCATCAACTATTATTTACTTAATACAGTATATTATACACTAGTTATTAAAAATATATATACATATCACACAGGAAAGGAAAAACTTAATAAAATATTCAAAAAGACAAAATTTCACAATATTTTGATCTATATAATAAACCATCGACATTCTTGAATCCAGTTTTTAAATAATTCAAATTCACCATTTTGTTAGGCCCACGTTTTTTCCAAGTAATCCATGACTTCAATCTATTAATGAATTTACGTAATAATTTCTCTTTAATTGTTTTAAGATACGGATCATGTTGATGTTTTTTGTATCTCGCACCAATAACAGTATGTAATACTCTTTCATAAAATAATGATGAAATTATGTACCTCAATTAATTTATAATTATTACAACTATTATAAGAGCATAAATACCAATAACACTTCATAAAAGTTGTTTTGGTTTCAATAACGGATCTTCCATAATTCAGCTACGCAGATTTCGGAAATAATATTAATTTTTTTCTATCACGTAAGGATTTTTTACAAATCGGGAAGAACAAAACTCTTACTTAGATCAAATTAATATTTTGTTTACCACAATGAACATTTTTTTATTATTCACAAAAATACAAAGAAACTGAAGAAAAGGGAAGAACATTGATGTCAAACGAATATGCATCCTCATTAATCCTGATTTTTGTTATGAAATCTACGTCTTTTAGTCTCAAAACTAGGTGTTGTGGTTTTTCTTTTATCTATTGCATCTCGTTTCAATGATATATAGATAGATACTTGCTTAGTCATTTATTTCTTGTGAACCTGACAATCTCTAACCTATCATATTAACTGATTAATGAAAATGTGTCGTTATTTTGTTGCTTGTTTCGATAGACCAAACTTCAATTTTGACATAAGGCCGTGAGTATGTAACGTTTTTCATGTATATTTATATTTTTGCAATATTTTGAAGTTTACAGTTGACCGCAAATAAACTACAAAAATTAAACCCATGCTATACTGCATGCTGTTTGTTCGTTTTAGTTCAATATTTTTGATGTACAGTTTATGGACGTATTTCAGAGCCACGTGCGGCTTCACACCAGCTAACATAGTCCGTTTAGAACAGATGTTTCGGAACAACGTGGGAGACAATGGAGAACTTGCCCTTGAACAGTTTAAAAAAATTTTACAGTCCAAAAATGCAAGTTTTTCTTTCTTTTTTACTTCTGCGTGTAACACCAAACACGTTTTAAGTTATCGTGGAAGTGTTTTTTAAAATCATGAAACCATGTCAATTTTTAACATAGTGTGAAGGTAAGATAGTCGATTAAAACCGTGTCTCTCTTTCCTTTTTAAAAAATAGAAACTACAGTCATTTAACGATATTAACAAGTCAACAAGCAGTTATTGTTTTGTTTTGTTTTTAAATTAAGAAATTAATTAATTGGAAAGATAAATGTATACGAGAAAATAAAAGCATATAAAAAGTATAAAAATTAAACAGGAATCTTAAAAGCACTCTTATGGAAATTCTCCCAAAGCTCTATTCAAATATTTATTTTACTTTCCTTCTTGCTTCCCAGTGGCTCAGCGGTATGCTGCGGACTTATAACGCTAAAAACCAGGTTTCGATACCCGTGGTAGGCACAGTAATGTTAGCCCATTGTGGAGCTTTGTGCTTAACTATAACCAAACGCACTTCTTTCTCCACACAAATAACAATAAAGTGAAACACATTTTTCTCCTTGGAATGGAAATTAGTTTTCCTTGTGTTAAAATTCTAATTGAATAAACACGAATAAAACTTGAAACCACGATGAAGAGATGTTGATAAACTGATGTACACTGCTTTAGAAAGTACTTAACCCAAACCATTTTTTGAAATATACAGACACACAGAAATGTAGTTATAAAAAAGAACATGAACTGTGAGCTGGCACACAAAAATATTTTTACTGTTTAGTATTTTCACACGTTATAATCTTTTGATATGGGATTTTCATGCTAATATGTTATATTTTAAGTGGTGCCGTGAATGTATTCTTCATTTAGTTTTGAGTGAGTATCTAAAATCATTATCATAATCCTGATATGTATATATATATATAATAAATATTTGTACATATTAGTAATATTATAATCTGATAACAATTTGACTGAATTCCTACTTTCCTTCACCTGAAGAGTTTTTTTGCTGAAAGAATGTTCAGACTGTACGATACCAGGAACGCTGGGAAAATTTCTTTGGATCAGTTTCTTACGGCAATTCGGAACTTTGCTCGGATGTCATCGGAAGAGAAACTAAAACTATTGTTCTCTGTGTACGATGTAGACGGTAAATTTATTTATCTAACTTAGAATCTGTAACATTAGCAAGTCTATAACTTCGTGTGATTCTCTTGATTATACTTTAAATCCCCCTTTTCTTGTTCTCTTTAATTTTAAATCTTAAATAAATTACCAACTTAATAATGACTATCAGAAAAAATTAGATTCAAATACCGGTTAGGTCTTCAAGTGAATTTGACTTCAACGATAGACAACAAACAATTTTACTCGCCGATATCAATACTCGGTGAGTAGAGCGAAAATACCCAGTAATAAAAGTGAAAAACTCGGTAAGTAGAGCGAAAACACTCGATAAGTAGAGCGAAAACTCACAGTAATAAAAGTGAAAACACTCGGTAAGTAGAGCGAAAACACCCAGTAATAAAAGTGAAAACTCGGTAAGTAGAGCGAAAACTCACAGTAATAAAAGTGAAAACACTCGGTAAGTAGAGCGAAAACACCCAGTAATAAAAGTGAAAAACTCGGTAAGTAGAGCGAAAACACCCAGTAATAAAAGTGAAAACACTCGGTAAGTAGTTCGAAAACTCTCAGTAATAAAAGTGAAAACACTCGGTAAGTAGTTTGAAAACTCACAGTATACTAAATAAAAACACTCGATAACTTGTAGATTTAATAAACTTGATGTTAGGTGAAGTGAAAACAGAGTACATAAGCATGATCTTTTTTTTTTCACGATATTTACCCATTGCCAAATTCTTGTACTTAAATTTTAAATATATTTTATACTTAATATTTTTATTTTAATCAGAAAGATTAAGCTGAACCATCATCAGAAAAACTTAATGTTTAGTTATAGCTTTCTCATTTTGAAATGATTATATTAAATACAGTAAAATCGACAAGGGTTTGCAGATTTGGTTGGTGACTTTATGAGATATCCAGGTATATAGAACTGGCACCTATAGTGCCTTAAGTGCCTATATATCCCATAAAGGCATAAGTGCATGTGTTGTATACAGAAAACTATAGAAACAGAATTTTTAGTGATGATGTCTTATAGCCTAGTAAAAATCAGGAATGCTATGTTCTACTGGCATTCCCAATGATATATCATAGTCCAATTATTTTATTAACTACTCCCTTTCTTGCACGTATTTAATTACCCCACTAATGTTATAAGAATTTTCTCACGTGAAAATTTCCTGTCTCAAAGAAGTCTTAGAATTGTTTTTTTGTCGGAAACAGGATGTGGTTAATATTTCTCCGATGCATTTATCGTTTAGGATAGCTCTGACGTGTCGTCTTATTTGTTTCTGTTATTTTCAATGTCTCAAAGCTAATAAGGTTTACTCACTGGTTAATTACTGAAGTAAATATCTTCTGATTGGCGTTTGAACGAAAATAGGGATATAGCAAACGGTATAAAAATGCATTGCCTTTTCTTTTCTTTTTTCCTTTCTAATTTGAATTACTTTGGGGATTATTCCATTTGTATAGTTTATAAATTAAAACTAAGTTACCTGTCATCTCGAATACTCTGAGGAAATATACTCTAACGCCAGTAGTTTCACCATGATCTTCTGCTTGTGGTATTCCTGGTTTAAAACATATTGGCATCCCCACATAAAAAGAGGTTCTAATATTTTGTGGATGTAATGTTGTGTAGCAATGAAAAGAGAGAAAAAATGACAACATGTATAATGAACACAAATGACCTTTACTTAAAATGGACTTGACATGACCTAGTGATTAACGTGCCAGGCTATGGATCGGGAAGTACAAGGTTTAAGTCGCGCTCAGTTCTACATCTGTAAGAGTATTGTAACAGTAACATTTAATATATCTATCCAGTTAAGAGTATCAGTATATGTAGTAGGTGCTGATAACTGGTTGCCCTCACTGTGGTTAGCAGTTCTAAATTCGGGATGGCTATTCCTGAACCTTAAGTCCATGCATCGCATAAGGTGCCATCTAGGTTGACAATATCAAATTTAAAGCCTTCTGCCTCCTTACTTACAGTAGTCTACATTTACTTTGAATAAGCAAAACTTGATTTAATAATAGATTCAACTAAAGATAAGGGCAATAAATGAGTCGAATGTGTTACTATTGAAGCTAAATTGAATTTGTTAAACTAAAATAAACTTAACTAGAGATAACTGAGTTTCAACTGAAGAGTAAACAACAAAAGTTAAGAGTTGCATGTAACAAACGGACAACAGAAAGTTTATCGAAGCAAGGCTTGTCTCCCTCAGATACGACAAAAAAGTAAGACTGAAAGATAGTAGATAATATGCAGCGATAATCCTCTAAACGCAGCCAATGACAATCAGCTGCAATTTTTGGAAATGGAAGGTCTTGCCATACAGCTGTGATCATTGTGTTAAGCATCATATTGTTACGTCTCCGTTTGTTGATTAACTTCCCGTAACTTCGTTCCGACGAAACTTTAGCGACACAAGTTCTTTACTTAATAAAACTGGTTTATTCTTTCCGAATACAACTTTATCGATACACTCAACTTCAACAATCGCGCTAAACAAACGCTATAACAACGAACGTGCTCAATAATACTTCTGACTGCAGATCAATTACTCACTGTCTACACACACATTACATTTCATTCCCCGCGTCACGTTGTCACCCTCTTATATATACCCGACTACTCTATATCTAGTCAAATACTAGAGCATTCGCCAAAGTACAGGATAGTTCTAGAAACGTGGCGTCACAGTAGTCATGTGACTCGCTGACGCAACAATATGCAACGGTTAGCAGCTAAGATTTGGTTTAGTTTAGATTGAATTTCGCGCAAAGCTACACGAGGTCTATCTGTGCTAGCCGTCCCTAATTTAGCAGCGAAAGACTAGAGGAAAGGCAGCTAGTCATCACCACCCACCGCCAACTCTTGGGCTGCTATTCTATCGACGAATAGTAGAATTGACCATCACATATAACGCCCCCACGGCTGAAAGGGCGAGCATGATCAGTGATGGGATTCGAACTCGAGACCTTCAGATTGCGAGTCGAACGCCCTAACCACCAGACCCCCCTAAGGTTATGTTTGATATAGGACGACATTCTATTACCGCGTTAACTCCGTGAGTAGAAAACTCAAAATAATAGATTCTTTTCTTAGATTCATTATTTATCGGGAAGGAAAGTAATATTTGCAAAATTAGTACATGGTCATGGTTATGAAACTGGCTTTGACTGAAAATAGATAATAAAAGAAATTAAAAGGCATTAAAACTTAAGTTTCGAAATTACAACATTTTAACTTATTAAATTATTAATTTTTTAATATGTACACATACAGAAATAACCTACTACTTGTTTTACTCCAAAGCATGCCATAGAAATGAAACAGTGGACTACTTATTATTAGAAGATCGATTAAAATATGTATCTTAGGAAAATAGTAACTAAACTTCATAAATTCTAGTTATAGTGAATATAGAGTTGTATCGTATATCATAACATACAACAGCTAAAATATAGAGTTGTATCGTATATCATAACATACAACAGCTAAAATATAGAGTCGTATCGTATATCATAACATACAACAGCTAAAATATAGAGTTGTATCGTATATCATAACATACAACAGCTAAAATATAGAGTTGTATCGTATATCATAACATACAACAGCTAAATGAAATAATGTATTTGTTTGTGTCTCTTGTAAGGTCAGATCTAAACGAAAGACTAAACCACGTGACCAGTAGGTCCTACACTGTCAATATTTTCTATAAACTTCATCAGTGACTAACTGAAGATATTCATTTCTTGAGTTTTACCTTTGATGATCATATCCTTGTGATACAAAATTTTCATAACCTTAAACCAGTTCTTACACTTTACTGCTGGTCAGCATTTCAGAGATATAACACGCATTGAAATTATCCATAGCGTGTACTAATTAAATGAAAAGTTTTGGTATTTTACGTCTCTTTTGTTTAACAGGTGACGGCTTGATACAGATGAAAGACTTTCGCAATGTCATTCATGCTTGTATGGAAGAAAATGGTTTAAAGTTTTCAGAAGAGCAAACAGAAGATTTGACAATGGCCCTATTTAAAGATGCAGACATTGATGGCAGTGGCAACATTTCCTTTCAAAATTTCAAAACACAACTGGAAAGTCATCCAGGACTTGCCGAAAATTTTTCGATGACGTAAGGTCTTCAGTTTCTAAATTTTACTTCTCAAATACTTCAAACAAATATAGCAATAATTCCTTTAGAGGAAGTATCCAATACTGTCCTTTGTTTGTCATGTCACTTTTAAGCTCTAGTTACATATTATATTATATAGAAATAAATAATTTGATTATTTTGGTAATAACAAATTATGCAACAAAATTTAAATTGTCACTTATACTCAGGATCTTTACCAAACTAAACTGTAGCCCCCACACTTATACTCAGGATCTTTACCAAACTAAACTGTAGCTCCCACACTTATAATCAGGATCTTTACCAAATTAACTGTGGCCCTCACACTTGTACTCAGGATCTTTACCAAACTAAACTGTAGCCCCCACACTTATACTCAGGATCTTTACCAAACTAAACTGTAGCCCCCACACTTATACTCAGGATCTTTACCAAACTAAACTGTGGCCCCCACACTTATAATAAGGATCTTTACCAAACTAAACTGTGGCCCTCACACTTATACTCAGGATCTTTACCAAACTAAACTGTGGCCCCCACACTTATACTCAGGGTCTTTACCAAACTAAACTGTGCCCCCCCACACACACACTTATACTCAGGATCTTTACCAAACTAAACTGTAGCCCCCAGTGGCACAGTGGTATGTCTGCGGACTTATACTGCAAGAAACCAGGTTTCGATACCCGTGGTGTGAAGAGCACAGATAGCCCTTTGTGTATCTTTGTGCTTAATAACAAACAACTAAGCTGTGATAAGAATTTTATCTTGGAATAAATTTTTGGTACAGTATCGAAGTAATCTCTTGAACGTGGTATTTAACTAAATAGTTTAAAAATCCGTTTAGTGTTGATTTAGATTACTGCAAAAATATTTATTTTAGTAATAATTAAGAGTCTATATTAGCGTGTTTAGTAACAGGGGCGTATCCACTTCAGAAATATCAGGATTTAGTCTTCTATGATTTTTAAACTCTCTCTACACTGTGACTCCCACTGCATTGACAAATAATTTTTCTGTCCCCAAAATAGCCCTTTTCATCCTTTTCCTCCCCTTCTCCTTCCCCAGTAAAACCCATGCTTAGAAATAATCACACGCCCGGCATGGCCAGGTGATTAGGGCGCTCGATTCGCAATCTGAGGGTCGCAAGTTCGAATCCCCGTCACACCAAACATGCTCGCCCTTTTAGCCGTGGAGGCGTTATAATGTGATGGTCAATTCTACTATTCGTTGGTAAAGAGTAGCCCAAGATTTGGCGGTGGGTGGTGATGACTAGATGCCGTCCCTCTAGTCTTACACTACTAAATTAGGGACGGCTAGCACAGATAGCCCTCGTGTAGCTTTGCGCGAAATTCGAAACAGACAAGCAAAAATAATAATTCGAGAAATGATGATGAAATATATGTATAGATTCTCTAGAAAAAGTTAAAGAATAATCAGTCTAATTTTAAACTAATCATTTCAACACTTTTTTATTAGGTTTTAAGCAATATTTAATAATGAAATGTTTTTACACGCAACTGAGATGAACATAAATATATCTCGACATCAGTAATAACCAATAACTTAGAAAGCTTTATTGTGGTCGAAATTTATCTAAACACTCTCTGAGTCCATAAATGACAAGAAAATAAAATAAAAACTGATGAAAGATAGAGAGCCTTTTCAAGATTCAGGTTTATTATTATTATTGTTATCAAATTAGCGTATTAGTTTTATCTTAAAACTACTCCACTCAAACAATTAACCTTCTATCGATTTTCGCAGTCATGAGATTGTTTTTAGTAAACCTCAAATTCTTAATAGATATTCAGATTTTAGTTTTCCCCATTTTACAGCACAAAATACTTCGGATTTATTAATTAAAATATTAATTAACAACCAATTATTGGCTCAAAATATTGTGCGTAGTTGCATCAGTAAGCAAAATGTTGGAGAAAGAATGAAAAGAACAAGATGTATAAACAACAACAAATTATTTCAGTTAATAAAAGATGACTTTTAAACCACAATTATTTATTATTGCAAAATAAGTTTATTTTGCTAAATGTTTTAACCACATTTTTTGGGTCACCATCAGTGCAAAGTTTTCACTTCTGCAACAAAACAAGACTTATATATATATTCATTAATTGCATGTAAAGCAACAATTAAATTTATCTTATCAGTGTCGTAGTAAAATCTTCTCAACTAACCAAGAGTCGAATTTTCTGGAACATTGTTGAAATGAAATTTCGTTCATACTTAC